GAGCATAGCATGGAGTACTGGCAGTGGAGCTGGTTGAAGAGTGCAAAGAAAAATGTCAACTTTTTCATGAGAAACAAGTGACAAGTTTGCCCTGCTAAGTCACAAGGTCAGATATTTTGATGCTCATAAATATTAGGATGACATCTAGTTTGCTTGTGAATCCCAAAAGTTTGTAGCCTGAATGATTATTTGTACCCGAAACGTGAGATATATTGGTTTTTGTTCTCCTGTTAAGGAGTTCCACTCTCCCAGTGAGGGAGCAGAAAGAATGCCATGTGACTTGAGTGACCTATCACACAGCATGAAGAATCACTAGTGTGTAACTGAAGTGAATACTTCATGAACAGCCCACAGGCTTAGATTTGTTCCCATGCACCTTTAAGAATAACCAGTCAATTCACAGAAATCAGAACTGGCTCATGAACGATTCAAGAGCTCCGCTGATTGAAGCATTTGTTCTGAATAAATGCTTCAATCAGCTCTAATTAGCAGAACTGCCTGGGAAGAAGCTTGCACCCTACTTAGCTACTGAAAGGATCAGGCCAGTTCTATTAGTCCCTTTCTTTTATTAACACTTAATTAACAAGCACATTTAAAAACCAAATCTAAAAAGGACTCTTCCCAACAAACCAATCTCATTGTTTCATGGTGACAGTTGCAGTAGATGTCACTGAATAGTCACCTTTGTAACTGTAACGCATCTGGAGTCTTCACTGTCTTTTCACCTTTGCTTCCTATGATACATAAGTGACTTCTGTCTTAGGGCTGCTAATCCTGGCAAACTGATTGTTACAAGCGTTGTTAGTTGTTGAACAGTGTGTGCGCCTGCCTGGAACATCACATACAGTAATATGGGATGTGTTGCTCTTACCCTCTCAAAGTTCTGCGCCATTATTATTTGGCAGTAAAACTTTGCTCATACCTGCCTGCACTTCAGATTTCTGATATTCAGTGGACTGCATCACTAGCCTCCTGAGCAGCTCATCAAGACGGTGGAGCAGGCCCACCGATGGGGGCAGCGAGGGACAAGGGGACAATTGCCCAGGGACCCGGACGATTTGAAAGGTCCCAGGCACCCCCGGCCGCCGTCGCTGCCGCCATGGTAGCAGTGACAACAGCTGGGAGCCCCGGGCCTTTTAAATCACACGGGTGGGCTGCAGGGCTCCTAGGCACATGCGACCACTCCAGGCCCCACGCTTTGGGGGGCCCCACGAGCCAGCACGATTGGCCAGCCAGCATGGTCAGTCCTGGAAGTGATGGATTTGTCATGTACGCCCTGGGCCCCACACTCTCCCTAGGGATGGCTCTGGCCCCGGGGCCCGGAATTGCTGTCGGCGGGCCTGCGTTGGAGGCAGGTGGCCAGTGAGGTTTACTGATATCTATTTGCTTATTTATAGCTAGGGCCCTACCAAATTCACAGCCATGGAAAACGTGTCACGGACCATGAAATCTGGTCTTCCCCACGAAATGTGGCTCTCGTAGGAGGGCTGCAGTATTGCTGCCCACCCTTCTGTGATTACAGGTGCCAACTTCTCATTGTGCCGGGAGCTGCTCTGCCTCAGGCACCACCCATGCTCCACCCCTTCCCTCAAGGCCACACCCCGCCCTGCCCCCACCCCTTCCACCCCCACTCCTGCCCCGCTCCACCTCTTCCTGCCCCATTCCACTCCCTCTCCCAAGTGTACCACGTCCTCGCTCCTCCGCCCACCCCCCCACCCCCGCCTCCTGCATACTGCGAAACAGCTGATTGCGGCAGGAGGGCAGCGCAGGGAAGGAGGCGGAGGTGCTGCTCGGTGGGGCCTGCCGGCGGGCAGGAGGTGCTGGGGGGAGAGGGAGGTGCTGACAGGGGTGCTGCCAGTGGATGCTCAGCACCCATCATTTTTTCCTTGTGGTCACTGCTGCCCTGGAGCACCCATGGAATCGGCACCTATGTCTGTATTGCCTTCAGAGCTGGATGGCTGGAGAGTGGCAGCTGCTGGGTGCGTGCCCAGCTTCGAAGGTAGCACCATTGCCAGCAGCAAGGTAGAAGTGAGAGTGGCATGGTATGGGGGAGTTGTCACTTTTGTGGGGGAGCAGGGCTGGCTTTATGGGTGGGCGCTGTGAGCGACTGCCCGGGATGCCGTGGTCATCCCCTCCCCCCCGCCCCGCATACACAGCCAGTCCCAGGCCTCGTTAACACTGAGCACTGGGCCCACCTGGGAGCTCCTACTGCGTGCCAGACTCCAGCTGTTAGTCCTGGCCAGACTCGGGGGGACGGGACTTTCTCTTCCCCACCCCAGGATGCTCCTGGAGCTGGGTTAGACCCACCTCAGTTAACCTCTCCCAGTTGCAGGAAGCTCTGTGGCTGCTGGCTGGGAGCCCAGCTCTGAAGGCAGTGCCACTGCCAACAGCAGCGCAAAAATAAGGGTGGCAATATTGCGACCCCCACACACACACACAATAGCCTTGTGACCCCCGCACAGCCGCTTTTTGCATTGGGACCCCCACGGTTACTACACCATGAAATTTCAGATTTAAATATCTGAAACCAGGAAATTTAAGATTTTTTAAATTCTATGACCATGAAATTTACCAAAATGTACCGTGAATTTGGTAGGGCCCTATTTATGGCTTTAAATAACTCACAACCATCAGGCAGTGCACATCACTTTTATATGTAATGGTGTGCCAACCAATTACCCTTGTCCTCCCGCCCCCATGCCAGTTAGTTTGTGTTTAGGGGTTGTCTACAAGCCACAGTATGACTTAAAATTCAATTAGCTAAACTGGTACAAGGCTGTACAGACACTCAAATCAATATTTGATTTTGATTTTGTCAAAATGAAACATTTTATTTGATCTGAAAAAAACGTTTTCAGAATTTTGGTTTGTGGGAAATTAAAAAAAAAGAAATTGTTTTCCTTCCATTCCAGAATGGAAGACATTTTGAAATCATGAAACTACCCCCAAAGTGAACATTCTGATTCCTGCACAACCCTAATTAATTATAAATCTTTTTCTATTGATTAGCTTAAATCAATCAAGAGCATGTTTTAGCTATAAAGAAATATGCCCCTCTTAAATTGAAATAAGATTGTTTATACAGGGGTCTGCAATGGTTTAAGTAAATCTGTTTAGAAACCTATTTAAATTAAATGGGTGCAACGTCTGTGTGCCAACAAGGCCTTGCATTTGTTACCACTTGTCTTTAAGTAGACTGTAAATGCTTTGAGGCAGGGACTGTCTCTTCCTTTCTGGTTGTACAGCACCAGTACTATGGAGCCTCAGGCTGGACTGGGGCCTCTGGGTACTACTATAATATAAATATAAATATAATAATAGATTCTGAAAATCTGCAATTAGAGATCTAGAATGATTTATATACTCAGAGGCATCCTTGATATTTGTTTTATGCCCCAGCAATTGTATACATTCATGGCCTGATTCATCTCCAGTCTATGCCACTGTAACTCCATTGGCTGAGGTGTTGAGCTGAAGAGTCCAAAATGACTTCAGAAGCCCTGTATTGTGAAATAAAATCACATGACAGCACCAAACCAATCATCTTTACCATGGTCAGACATGGAAAAACATTGAAAAATTTGGCTAACTGCAATAAAAATGATGAATCACAAAGTGTAAAACCTCAAAATTATAATTAAAATTTGTGTTGTGGTACCGGCTCCTAGGAATTCCAGTCATGGCCCAGGACTCCATTGTGCCAGCCGCTGTACAAACAGAATAAAAAGGCAAAGATAGTCTGTTTTCCCTTTCTGCTCTGTTTTATGCCAATTTTCCTGTAATGCCTGGATCTCTTGCCCACCTCCACATCAGACCAATCCCCTAGCATAGCTATGACCAGAGGTTTCAATATCTTGAGACTTAACACATGTAATCCTCCTCATAAATCCCTTTATCATAACTACATTTTACAGTACGTTTCTCACATCAACATGCTGTTGTGTTTTATTTAAAGATAGAAAAGGAGGGTCTAAAATCGCAGAAAAGTATTCCTCCCCGCCCCACCATCATTTTATCTTAGGGCTTGTCTTCACTACCCGCCGGATCGGCAGGTAGCAATCGATCTATTGGGGATCGACTTATTGCGTCTAGTGAAGACGCGATAAAATCGATCCCCCATGGCTCTGCCATTGACTCCGGAAATCCACCGCGGCAAGAGGCAGAAGCGGAGTTGACGGCAGCGCGGCAGCGGTCGACTCGCCGCCGTCCTCACAGCCAGGTAAGTCGACCTAAAATACACAACTTCAGCTACGCTATTCACGTGGCTGAAGTTGTGTATCTTAGGTCGACCCCCCCCCCCCCCCCCC